ACTGGGACCAGCACAGGCTGCACCAGCTGAGGCTCTCCTTCCAGAAATGGAAAAACTTCCAAGGGGAGCAACTACCCAGCTGGGGCCAAGCCCTTGTTCCTTGTCACAGTGCTGTTGGACCATGTGGGTCTCTATTGCCACACAAAGATGAGTTTTCAGGGGCACAAGGCCGCTGGTTTGTGGGCTTCTGCACTTGTCAAAGCTTGGGACTGGAACATAATCAGCTGGGATGAGTTAAACAGATGTCAGGAATACTTCTCAGTCCTGTTCAGAATTGGACCTCTAGACCACCAAGAGTGCTTTCAATCAGCAGATGCTGAGCATCCCCAGACTTCACCACCACTACCAGGAGCTGCCAGTCCCTGCCAGCCACTTTCCATCCCACTGCAGCCTCTGATAACAGCTGACCTGGCCCTTTGGTGCTCTGGAGAGATTCAGGGACCAACAAAGAGGGAGGTCATGGTCAGTGTTGCTTCCTGGACTCACCAACATGGCCAAGGTTGTCAAACAATCACCCTCTCCTTTCCCAGTGTCTCTTTGGGTGCCCCCAACAGGCATCCCACTACCAGTTTGGTGGGAAAAGTTACCATTCCAGCTCAAACAGGCCAGATCCAAGCCCCAGGTCAATGGGTCATGCATTATGCAACTGTACTCACATGGAAAACACATCTAGCCTCCTGCTGTACTCTCATAAAGTATATCCAGAAAGAAGATGCAACATATCCTGCATATCAGTGGAGACAAGACAGTAGGAGCAGTATTAAGAGATTATTGCACATGCATCCAACTGTTTCTATTTAACAGGTGGCTGCTCAGCAGCAGGTGCAGAGGGTACCAAATCACTAAGTTCTGGCAATCCCTGTAACTCTCTCATCCCTCTCCAGCCACCTAATGCTCTTTTAGGCAAAGGAAAGATTAAGGAAAATGCTTCTTGGGGTTTTTTCCCTTTCCTCCCCTACACTCTTTTTGTTTTAGCCTGAGAAATGTAACCTAAAAAGGCACCAGCAGAATGCCACAGACATGTAGCTGATGGAGAAGCAAGCCATCATTTCAGTCCATGGAGAAGCCAACAAGTCTTCCCACAGGTTTCAGCAAGCTTCAGCTAAAGACCTCCAGGGTAAGGAAGGAAAGAAAACACAAACCCTTGCACTTTGATCACACCCTCAAGCAGTGAGGAGCCTGGGATCCTCAAGGTGAAGCCTTTGGGGGTGCCCTGTCCCCATGCCATGGGGAGAGAATGGAAGACATTCATGCATCTCACGGATGAACGAGCCAGCAAGCACATCCAGCAGTGACTGCTCCCACCCAAGTGCAATGCTGCAGATGGTTTTTCTAGGAGGCCTTGGAGACAGCTTGAGGGTTTTGCTGCTGAACCAGGCTCTCTGCAGCACAGGCAGAGCCCCTGCCCCTGGCACTGAGCCCTGCAGCTGCACAGGGTCTGGCACGAGCCAGCAGGGACGATCCTGCCGCTGCCGCCCGCCCGGTCCAGCCATGGCATCCTCTTGCATCCTGTCAGCAGGAAAAGCTGAGAAATAGGCACCACAGGACAAACCACAGGAAACACAGCCCTTTGTGGGACAGAAGGGACTTGTTGTACAGCACACGCCGTAGACAGTGGGACACGGAGGAGGGGTGTGGATTTGGCACTCGAGTGCAAACGCTGTGTCCCTGCTGTGCCACATCACTGGCTGACTTAGCCTTAAATATTTTGGTTATTCATCTGAGAGTACATGTTCTGAAATATGCAATTGTCAGGCTTTTCTGGAAGCTCCTCAAATGCAGAATGCCTTGGTCCTTCCTCCCAGACAGCTTCCACCTGCAGGGAAAGACAACCTTGTCACTAAAAGCCTCATTTTCAGCTGCCACCAACTGTTCATCTCTGCTAAGCAAGCAGCCAGGGCCATTTTTCTTCCTGCTTTGCTGTAGGTTCTTCAGAGCAAGGAGTTGAGCATGAAGGCAGCACAGACCTTGGCCAAGCTCTGTGCAGGCCAGCAATGCTTATGTGTACATTCTCCTTCCTTACTTTGCTTTGGAGAGAGTTGTCCTGCAAAGGACTCAGGGCAAGCACAGACACCATGCCACCCTCCAGCCTGGTTTGGTGTCTCCTGAAAAGCCCAGAGCCCCAGCATGCCAGCTCAGGTGTTTAATATCTGGCTCACATGAACAGGGTGGGAAAGGCAGGACCTGTACCACTTTGTGGCTGTATTTTCATTTGCTGTGTTTCCAGAGCAGCTCCTCTCCTGTGGCAGACAGCAGGAGTGGGCAGGTAAAGCTGCTTCTGAGAGAAGCAAGTGTCTCACCTCTCAAGTGTCTCACTCCAAAGGCAAAGGCAGGGGAGACATGAGTGAGAGCAGCAGCTCTGGAAAGGGAATTAACAGGGGAATTGGAGATTAAAACATCAGATTGAAAAGAAACAATAAATCCCTGTTGGGAAATATAACTGGGGGGTAGAGCAGGAACAGAATGCAGCTCAGTAATGAGGCAGATGGCATTTTCTTTGGAATCTGCAAATCCATTTGGGCTTTCTAGCAAACAAAGATGCCACACTATCCAGAAGTCAGCTTGATACATGACCTGCCTCCCCCTCTGCTTTCAGTAGCAAAGCTGCTGGAACGAGCAGCCCTGGCAGAGCCCAGCTGGTCCAGCAGCTCAGGCTGAGGCCAGTCTGCTCTCACAGCCAAGTCCCTGCTCTGCTTGGGCCACAGGGACAAGGTGACAGCCAGGCTCAGTGTCACAGGCAGGGCCCAGACACGAGGGGCTCTCTAGAGCCATTGAGGGCTAAGGGCATCTGGCAAAACACTGTCCTGCTGCAAGGTCCTGGCAGTACTAAGACTGTGGCTCCTCATCAGGCAGGACAGCTCCAGCCACGTGGTTTGCATCTGTAAGGGCTGCAGGCAGCAATGCAGAGCATTCCAGCATATGACACCCCTGGAGCAGGGATGCCTCTACCAGCCATCAGTGTTCTGGCAGTGCTGAGGCATTCTTGCAAAACACTTCCAGGGAAGGAGAGGGAGGAAAACCAGCATTCTGTTCCTGCTCTACCCCCCAGTTATATTTCCCAACAGGGATTTATTGTTCCTTTTCAATCTGATGTTTTAATCTCTAATTCCCCTGTTAATTCCCTTTCCAGAGCTGCTGCTTTCACTCGTGTCTCCCCTGCCTTTGCCTTTGGAGTGAGACACTTGAGAGGTGAGACACTTGCTTCCCTCAGAAGCAGCTTTACCTGCCCACTCCTGCAGTCTGCCACAGAAGAGGAGCTGCTCTGGAAACACAGCAAATGAAAATACAAGCTGCAGATGCTCACATCTAGCCCCCACCCCTCAGTTCCCTGTATTTCATTAAGCAAATAATGCTCAGGGTCAATAGCATCAGCCTCTTTCCTGGAAATGAAATAGCTACAGTCAACTCTCAGGTTGCCAGGCTGGGGACCCGGGGGGGCAACAGAGGGCCCTGCTCTGCAGCCAGCTTCTTTTGGTGTCTTCAGCACAGCATTGCTTCTGTGTCTCTCCTTTGCTGTGGTTTGGGTGAGACACGTGTATGAGATGGGGCAAGAGCTCCCACCCACACATTCCTCATGGAAGCCTTGGCAGAAGTGCTCTGGAACAAATGGGTATTGAGTGGAGCATCAGCCCTTGGAAATGCACCCTTCCCATCAGCTGGCATGGGCTCTCCTTGACTAGCAGTCAGCTCACACCACAGGCAGAGGGACAGGCACAGAGCTCACCTCACAGCATTTTACAGTGCCCCTTCTGATGCAAAGAGCCAAGACTGTGCCACATGCAACAATTGTAGACTGGAGTTGTGTGCTTGCAAATGCACAAATGAACTTACCTCCTCCTTGGCTGCAAATTCAGTATGTGTATCACCATGGACCATCAGATTTAGCTCTTGCATCTTCCTCTCATGTAGAAGTTTTCATCATGCTTTGGACTCAAGCTCTCTGACTCTTCACAACCACCTCTGACCCTTTATTTCAGGCTGTTTGCTTACAGGGGGTGCTGTGTTTCTGGCTGGAGCTGGCATTGCACCCAGTGTTAAGAAAAACCCATCTGTAAGCCTGCAAGGTCAGGGCGTTTTCTGAAAAGTAACAACAAATAGGCAGGCATTGTTTAAAATGCATCTCAGACCTTCAGTCACTAAGGTGCTCTGCTTTATCAGTCTTGCTTGCAAAGGACTGAGTACCCTGTGCTTTGTTTTTTGATGTTCCTGCCTTGTATGAGAAGATGTTTCAAAACACCTCTCTGTCCCAACTTAAAAAGATAAATAAATTTAAAAACAAACTAAAAAAACTTGTGCTCCAGTCATGGAAATGCCATGCAGATCCCCATGAGCTGATTTTTTCCAGGGAGGTTCCTTACCTCTAACACTGCTAATAGAAAGTCAATATTTAACAGAACAGATGCCACAGAGATACACTTCTGTTTCTGGAAATAAACCTGAAGGCCATATTGGACATGGCCTCACATCCCCAACATGACAACCTTACCACATGGCCCCAAGGACAGCCAGAGCTGCATCTCAGAAAGCTGGCTGGGTTTATCTGCAGACTGGTGAGGAGACATGAGGGAGAGTAACACAGTAAATTGCAGTCCTGAAAAATCTGTAATAATTTCAGGGTCTACATAAACATTCTTCCAAAAGACACTACAAAACCCAAGGGACAAGTGCAACATCAGCTTTCTCTAAGTATTTTGGTGTGGAAAACAAGTTGCAGAGCAGAGGTTTTCTATAGTTTAAAGTAGCAATAAAGTGCCTTCAGGGGTAACAGTTCTTCAGCCCAGCTGAACAACACATGGATTTCTGGAACTGTTGAGACTGACATATGTAGCTTTCACTGGGAACCATATTTTATTTCTTCTCTTCTTTTGAATTCCCTCCAATCTTTTCATTTTAATGACCGATAGATTGCAAGATGGATCCCAACAAAGAGATACTTGAACTTTTTCTTTCTTTCCTATGACACTCAACACTCACTTTAAGCAACAACCATAAACCCACAGTGAAGATGGCATTGGATTCTCACCTGTGCTTCCTCAAGGAGTGAATGCCTAAAAACTGATGATGGGTCTAAAATCCTTCTGAAAGTCTTACAGCATGCACAAACACCTGTGGAGTGAAGCAGGGGAACTCTGTCAGGCAACCTGGAGCAGGAAACCTGCAGGGAAGATCAAAGAACCAAGTAAAAAATAAAAGGCTGTAACACATGACACAAGGAAACCCAGCAGGAAGATGCATTTGCTCTGCCTTCACATGGGTATCTTCAACCACTGACAGCAAGAGCCAGGACTACAGTGTTGGTTTTCTGATAGAAAGGACTACTCAAAACTCCAAGTCTACCAGAATAGCCCCCACAGATGCAAAACCCCCCACAGATCCAAAACACAAAAACTGTCACGAGTTGGTATTTTCACGTCCCTCCTCTCCCTCCTCTCTCCCACAGCCTTCTCCCTCAAAAAAAGCTATTGAATAAAAAAAAAAATGGTTTTATTTTAAGGCAGTGGCTATTTTAAGCACAAGTTACTTTGAAATAAAAATAGAATTGTTTGCTTCCTGCCCCCCCCCGTCCCTCCACTGAAGGAAAGCAGTATTAAAACCTAATCTCCTTTCACACACAACATAGGTGCAAGGAATTTGCATTTTCCCTGCAGAAGAATGCTGTGGGAAAGACATCCCATACACATCTCCTGAATTCAAGAGAACTGGAGGTAAACTTGAGGACCAGCTGAGAGATGCAATAAAAAGATTGGCTTTATTCTATTGTAGGAATATCCCTTTGACTGTGACCCTGCCATTTTAGTCATGATTTCTCTGGGGTACCTTGTGCCTAACATCTCCCACTGTACATCCCTGAGAGCAGAGGAAGTGCTGGCCTCCAAAGCTGTAGCTCTCCTTTGTTTCCACCGGATATTTTCAGGGTAGCACAGAAAAAGCAATCACATCTGGGACCACCTCAAGGGGCTGCTGGCAAAATTCCAGAGGCTCCACAGAAGCAGCAGCAGATTGCGGATTTCGGTGCCTTGGGCAGGATGTCTGTTTCCACAATGGCTGGGGAAGGAAGCAATATAAAGGGAGATGGTCTGATAAGAGCTCAGCTATGATAAAAAAGACTCTGTTCAGTACTGATTTCTTTCAGCAAGAAGAAAGGTACCCACAGTCACTGGGTTACAGACATCAGTGTCTTGCCTCAGTGAAAAGGGAATGGGTTAGTCTTGAGGCAATGTTGAATACTAGATTTTAAAACAAGTACAAAAATAGAGAGCAGAACACATCTGACAGGCAGTGGGTTCTTCTCATTCATCCTGCAGTTTTGCAGAAAATTGTTAAAATAATTTCTTCATCAATTTCAATGCTGGTGGCTCTGTCCTGTTTTGTCATAGAAGAGGAAAATCAGCAGCTGCAAGGTGAAGCTCTGTGCTCTGTGAAATCAAGCATCATTTCCACAATAAAAACTTCCAGGCTTTAACTTACAAATTTGTTCTCTGCCGCCCCTGGATAACTGGAAACATTCACATTAGTGAAGAGAGTGGCATTACTGAGTGGCCTATAAAGAGCTTCACTAAAACTTTAAAAAGCACTGTACCATGGGAACACTCCCCTCTTCTGGCTGCCAGCTGGTGTTTATGCCACCTTGCCTTTTTTTTTTTTTTTTTTTTTTTTTTTTTTTTTTTTTTTTTTACCAAGGGGAAAAAGACAGATTTTGGAAGTTAAGTTTGAGGCCAGGATTCTCTGTATAAACAAAGCCATTCACAGCATGATGGATAATCACATTCTCTTACTTCCCAGCATCTCCCCATGGCACATTGTCCCACCTGCCCTCGGGTTTGGCTCGTTTTACCTTTTCCAGGTGTAGTTTTATTCTGTGCATTCCTAGGTCAAATGGCAGCACTGGCAGCATCAAGGGGTGGCTGCTGCTGCATTGCTCCGATTGAAGTTCCCTCTCTGGAGGAATCCTGGCAGGCTCGGAGGCAGGAGGCTGAGGCTGCAGGCTGTGTCTGAGCTCCTCCTGGCGGTGAGGAATGCCGGATTAACTTCCCTGTGCTAAGAGCTCAAGGATAAAAATACAGCTTTCTGCTACTCTTGTATGCTCGAGAAACACAAAGTGGAAATGTAAAATGAGCCACATAATCTGGGAGTGATGTAAAGGCTTTCATTCCTCACTGCTTGCACATGTGGCTAAAGGGAATGAACACGTCCTTACCCCACATATTTGGGGAATAAAAATCACAAGTTTCACATTTTGTTCTGAGCAGAAGAATTGATTTCATTTGCTGTGCTTTCCAGTCTTGCATGACCCACAGCCAAGGAAATACATCCTTCCTAAACATCTATGGCTGTTGGAGCATTCTCCATGCTGAGTCTGCAGGACAACAAGAGGGAGAGAGGAAGGAGTTATCCCTACCATCTTCTGGGATTGGAATGGAAAGGATAGAATGGGAAATTCTATTCTACTCAAATAGCATGGGTAAAAATATTACAGACAGTTGAATTGTAACTAATCCTGGCCCAAGGTGGATTCTGACTCTTTGTTAGGCACTGCACAATTATCCAGCATCCAACAGCTGCCATCCCAGAAAGGATACATCACTAAGGACAAGCAATGACACCCAAGTGAAACAAGAGGGAGGAAAGAAAACAAAATAAGAGTTTTTGCAAACTGTCACTTAGCAATGGTCTCCACTCCCTTTCTGGCTGGCCATGAGCATATGACATTATAACACAGCAGAACACCCTCTGATTTCTTTATAAAGACATTTAAATATATGAATATGTGAATACATGTATAAATTAATTTATATTTATTTATTATACACACTCTATCAGCCAGGTAGTAGAAACATAACCTTGGCACCACATCTGCCTTTGCTCACAGCCTTGCCATCAAAAACCAACAGAGAAATTTCAGAAGGAGACATCAGACAGTTTCCTCAGGGTGTGCCAATAGAAACTGTTGTTAATCCTGCCCATTTTCTGTACACACCCAAGATGCCTCACATCAGAGCTATTAAATGCAGCAAATTGCACTAGAAAGGCTCCTTTTAGAAATGTTTTGTCCAGGACACCCTTCTGATGACTTGGCAGAGAACTGTTCAACAGCTGACCTAAGTAACATCGGAGGGTTCATTCCCCCCCCCCCCCCCCAATCTTCAGCATCCCTTCCTTGTCTTTTTTCCTGTGCTGCTTCCACACAATCACTGTCCCTTATTCCATATCTGAGGTGCAAACCATGGACTTCCAAAACCAAGATTTTGCTCAGGTTCTGTCACAGAGAGAGAGAGAAGTGGATCACACCATGGCTCAGAGGCACAGCCTGGTGTCCAACTGCATTTACCTCAGAAGTCAACCCCTACCTGTGGGAAAAGCATGGATTAAATGTGCTGCATTCACATGGACACAAATATGCACCTTTTCTTCTGCACACCTCTAAGATACCTTGCAAAATAAAAATGATGCAGGTTCTATTTTTGAAAGTGGTCTAAAAGTCTCTTGCCATAACATCTCCAAGAAAAAAAAAACCCTCTTTTTTTCTAAATTTTACTGATACACTTTTTAAATTTTCCAGGTATTGATGTTATTGATGATGATTTGGTGGTGTTGATTTGAAAGTTCTTGGGGCCGATGAGTTTTTCTTGCTGTTCACAGGTATGCCAACCTTTGGGCTCACACTGTGTCATTAATTAGCACTTCAAAATATCAATAGCATTTGAGGAGACAGGAAAATCAGCTAGCAAGAGTTGCACTCAGAAACATCCCCAAAGATTTGGGGAATTTGAAAAATGTAGAGGGGAAGGCCAGAGATGTCTTGGTATACATATGATAATCACATCAGTGAGAAGGAATCAGTACTTCACTGCAGAAATACTGCAAAGCATAGCCAAAAAATTAGGTGGAGAAGAAGTAAAAATCAATATAGATCTCTAAAATGCTAATTGAGATTCTGTAGCTTCCAGCTTCAAAAACTAACAATATATATAAGTAATCCATTTAAAATTTATCAGATTTTTCATGTTTCACTTGTGTCAAACTTGGTTGCAACAGTATACAAGTCAAACCTTGAGAAATTAAATATAATATAATTAATATAAATAATAAATATAATTAAATTTAAAAAATAGTCCTCCAGTTCAGATCCTTTGCAAAACTAACCAGAATCTGGACCCATCATAGCCCAATCTTTTTGGCAGCTAATAAAGAAATTCAAGCAGAGGGATCTAGAGTTTTTAAACAAGTCTCTAAGAGATGCATAGTTTAGATGCTTTTATACAAAAGCAAAATTGTGTCTGTTCAACCTCCTTCCATCCTGTTTCTGCAGTGACAGAATTGTTGATGATTCAGGGCCACTAACACAACTTTCCAGGCAAAGTTGCTCCATTATTCTGTGACTGGAACACAGTACAAAGCTACATTCCACTCAGTTTCAAAGTAACAAAGGAAGGATGAAACAAACCAAAATGACAATGGTTTAGAAAGAACTTTTCCAAAATTGCAAAATGGAGATGTTCACTTCATATTATGACAATAGTGTAAGTGAAAAACTGGTTTGAATAAGTAAGACTTCAGCAACACTTCAAAATGCTCTAAACCCAAGCTGACCTCAGGGGTTGCATTTCTAAGAAAGCTCACACCATTCCAGGTACAGCTTGGATAACTCCAGGTTAGTTTTTGCCATGTTTATCACAGGAATGTGCTTAACCTCTGCAGAGCTGACATCCATGCAAAGGGCAAGAGGAGGCCACTGAAGGGAAGGAACACCAAAAGCCCTTGCCCATCCTCTCAGCTGCCCCAGGCAAGGCTGCTGCTCACAGCCCGGGTAAGGGGAAGGCAGGGATGTGTCTCAGGGTCCCACCCTCTCCATGCTCTGCACACAGGGGCTGGCAGGGTTGGAATGCTCTGCTGACCTCTGACTCCTTCCCTCACCAGTACATCCCTGTGGTCCTCATCACATTAGCAAAACAAAAGTTTCGATTCAGCAGCACAATCCAAAGACTCCACCTTCAAAGAATTCCTGCACAGGAGAAAGCAACTCCCAGGCAGCAGAGAAGCCCACGACAGGCTAGGACAAAGCAAGATCACTTTTTTCCAGAAGAGCACTGGGAGTTCTGAATCATCCTAAATCTTGACCAAGGATCCCAAAAGAACAAACCACAGCAGCACCTGAAAACCCTCAGAAGAACAGGGACGTATTTAAAGATACACCACTGTACCAGCTGAGGCATTAATAGTAATCTCAGAATTATCATATGCATGTTCAGTATATGAACTGGCTAGAAGTAAAGGGTAGATATGGTGTGCAAATCAAAGCAAATTCTTCCCTTAAAAAAAACCAAACAGTGGTGCTTCTAGCTAGAAACCAATCCTATTATGGCCCTGTTACTTGCAGTGATTTCTATCAACCTAGTCCTCCAGGTATTAAGCCTGTTCAGTTCAAGCCCTTCATGCAGGTGAGAGTGAAAAATCTAGTATTCCTGTATACAATTAATAAAAAACTACTTCATTTTATATATATGGTTTCCTTTCTATTCTCTACCACTATGTACATTTTGATCTGATGAGTCAACATGACATCTTTAAGATATGAAGTTGTACCTGTGCTCCAGTGCTTCAGCTAATGACTGGAGGTGTGGGCTCTACAGAATGTTTAACAGATCAGTGATTTCTTTTTTGTGCTGTTCCCAATCTTTAAGTCCTTTTCAGTGAACCACAATAGTGCAGCACAGAATAGCAACTCAGCTTTTTCTTCAAGCCATGAACTGTAAAATATAGTGAGAGTTTGCATCAGTGCAGAAAAAAAAAAAAATACAGAAATGGCTGAATGTCCCAACTAAGGGGAAAAGAATTTAAGTATTTTAAGATTATTGACAGCATTATTTTGGTGTCTATTGAAATGTGTAGTAAAAGGATTAGTGAAGACATTCCTTTAAATATACCTAATATTACTAGATTTTGGTAGCTAATATTTTTTACTGTTCAAAATTGAGGCTAGTGGCAACAGAAAATTAATGGCAGCATTACTGAAAACAGTCTATAAGCTATCAGGGCATAGCAGTGGCCCTGTATTGTGAGGCTTGTATGAAGGAAATGTCTTGCATCACAACCATGAGTGCTGCACAGGAATTCCCACTCTCCAAATACTTCAGTTGTTCCAAACCAAATCACTTCTGCTTACAAACCTCATTCACAAGGGAACTGGGATGTGTAACACAAGGTATCTTTCATGTTCTGCATAAACTGAACTTCTTAAAGTGAAATCCTCCTAGTAGTGAAGAGAATGCATTAATAGAACCAGTGTCTAAAATAACTTCCTGTAGCACCACAAGAGGTTTGTTACACAGTGGTTTTGAGTTTTCCCAAAGCATCTCACCAATTCCTTTTTTCTGACCTGCTGCCAAAGCTGGAGAAAAAGGCATCCTTCACATGCCATGTCTGATTTGATGCTTGGTCCCTCTCCCAAGAGTACAGGTCAGCATCACTTGTGGTGCTTAATGCCAGGCCCAGCTGTCCAGCAGTGTCTGCAATACGATCACCCCAATTCACAGTAGTGATCACCCCAATTCCCAGCAGACCTGGGCTGAATACAAACAGACCTGGAAGCAAAATGGTTCCACCCAAGAAGAACCTCATCTGAACAACAAGTTCTGACATTACTTTTAGGACAACTGACATGGGAAATACACTTTGAATGCTCTCCTTCAAGAGGTGCAATGCTTTTAACACATAGGAACAGCTCTGTTCAGTAACCACATCATGATGGAATTTAAAACTTTCTACAAGAGCTGGTTGAGCACAGGAAAAGTTCTACTGGGTCAGAACTGTGACAAAGCAATTCAAACACCTTTTGTAAAAAGGAGAAAACCCTTTGTAATGAGAAATCAACTTAAGAATGAAGCACAAGATTTAATATCTTCATATTAATGCTTGGTTGAAACTGCTGCCAAATTAAGCCAAAATTTCCACAACCCACATCCTATTTGAGGAGACCAGAGCAGCA